CCCCCACCCCCCACCCCCCTTGGGGTTATTCAGCAGAGATTTAATAGAGCTCATCCTGGAATAAAATAAAATAAAATCTGAAGATCATTAACTGGAAAGAACGACAGCTCGGTAAAGCAGTAACCAGCAAACAGCTGATGATACACTGGTCCTTTGATGCACAATGACTGAGGGGGAAAAAGATCAGAAAGAATTTTACTCATTTGCTAAATTAAAGACTCGAAAATCTCTAACATTCGTTATAGATCATCATGGATTAAAACATTAAGAGTGTTTAATATATTCGACATTGTCTCCAAAGGTTAAATAAAATCTGTATTTTCTCTTTTACCATACTTGTGTAAAATGTCCATATCTGTTTGTGTATTTTTAAATGGTATTTGTGATATGTGTATTAGTTTACAGCTGCTTTAATGTGAAGGAGTTTGGACAGTGTTGTGTCCAAAACAAAATTTCCCTCAAGTGAACAATAAAGTACTGCATTATATCATTATAGGACATGATAAAAATGCAGATGAAGATCTGAAAACTGAGAGTTTCGCCTGATGTAAAGAAAAACTCTAAATCTAGCGGGGATTTTAGGAAAGAGTTTGTGGCATCGTGTTTTCTGCAGCCAGAGGGAAAAAAAGAGGTCAAGCAACAAATGAGACCAAGACAAATTTCCTGGAGGGGACAATAAAGTAAATTTCATTGTTTCACATTGTGTTGTGTCGTATCATCATATATCATTATTGCTCATCTCCAAAGAATGAAGGTAGGCGATAATGTTGTTGCCAGTGTCTGTAAATATCTCATGAACTACAAGACAAGTTATCATTAAAAAAATGCAGATTAAATAAATAAATATTTTCATTCATCATTTAATCCAGTTCAAGATGGACCACGGATGATCCAGATTTGCAGACACAAAAAGGGCTCTAACTCAGTCAGTTTCACAGCTGTTCAGCTAAAATTTGTTGTGGTAGTAGCTGAGAGTCATCCACAAAACTGAGTGAGACATCTCGCATTATCACATAAGTATCTACAAAAAATGTTTGGTAGGTTTAGAGGAGACATTTCCTGCTTTTAAATTCTTCTTTTTCACATTTAAATCCTTCAGATGGGGTCTATTTAAAGTGGAACTGCAATGCTTTGGTGTGAATTCCTCCTTATCGTAACTCCACAATCCCCTGTTCTGTTTTATTAATTGCATGCACATGATAAAAATGTCTTGGAGTTTTTTTATGTGATATCAGCTAAAGTTATGTATTTAGAACTTTTTTAATTTTTTTGGTGGGTGGTGGCAGGGTTTTTGTTGCATTGTGTTTTGTTGTTGTTGTTGTTGTTGTTGTTGTTGTTGTTGTTGTTGTTGTTGTTGATTTTATTGTTTTCTTGCATCCTGAGGAAATAGAGGTCAGACCACAGCTTCTGTCCATGTTTGAAACATGTCACTTGTCACCGTGACTCTAATTTCAACTCTGACGTTGAGAGGAAGGCACAGAGAGAAGAGGTGAAAGGATAAAATCAATCTTTAGAGACCATTCACTCAGCCTCTATGGTGCCAATGGAACGGTTCTTAACCTGCTGACACACACACACACACACACACACACACACACACAC